GGTGGAGGTGAGGCCGGGTTCCAGCCGAGGTCTGCGTGCCGGGAAATGGCCGCGGGGGATGCCAGGAGGTGCTTCGGTTTGTTTCGAGGGGTCCCCAACCTCACCCTGAAATCGGCCGGGTGACGCACGTGCCAGGGATCGCTTCACTCCTTAACTCACCTTTTTCTGTAAACTGGAAAACTAGAATACAGCTCACTAATTTCTTCTCTCAGATTTTCAGTAAAATTTTTGCCTTAGTTTTGCTTAACCATCCATGACCAAAACTTACAGGAGCTGCCGTTGCGCGGGAGAAACCACTGCAAGGCAACCGCTGGTAGGATGAACTCAGCTGGCACTGCTGGCGCGTCCCCGTTACGGAGTTTGCTGCTGCAAACTTTGTAATAATAAGAAAAAATAGACCCGAATCCATGCTTAGGGGCTGAGGAGTTATTAATTTTCATGCTTGCAAAAGGTTTTAAAGTTTAATGAAGCTGCTCTCTTTTAAAGAGCAGAAATATTTCTGAAAATTGGTTCCACTTAACGTCTGAAAGCGCGATGAGAATTTTTAAAGCCTTCCGTGATGTCCCCTCCACAACCTCATTGTCTGTAATGCCAACAAATTTTAAAAGGGTGGGAGGAATTCACATCTCCCGAGACAGTTTCCCCTGTGCTTAGGGCTTCAGTGAGACTGTCTTCTGGCTCGCCGCGCGGTCCTGCTTCGGTCGCTCTCGCCCTGCCTGCCTCCCCTTGCCCACTCCCGAACACCCCCACGGAACCCGCGTGCCGGGGGCTGGAGGCTGGCCTCGCTGCTGGGCTGGATGTCCATGAGAAGGTGCCGGTGGTGCCAGTCCGGGGACCTGCGGAGCCTGGAGCAGTCGCTCCCCCCAGCGCGTCCCCACTCCGTTACTTGCAGATTCACAATTCCTCCTCAGATCTCCTCGGGAAACATCAACCATCTCCCGTGGCAGCCAGCGGGGTCGAGTGCTCCTCCCTGGGCCGGGGGTTCTCCACCTTCCTGGGTGCAGAGGTGGACATCCCACCTCTCCCATCCCTTTGGGGGCTGGGGCAGGAGCACGGCGGCAGCTGCGGAGGCTCCTCCGGCTTTGGGGAGCGTGCTGCTTTATGGTTCAGGATCTCCCCGGCTCCCACCATTCGGGCAGCGCTGACGTCGTGTGACATCAAGTGACGTCGTGTGACGTCGTGTTGCACAGGGCCTGGACGGGGCGCGCCGGTCGGTGATCGGGGACAGCCCGCAGCTGCTGACACACTACTACGATGACGCCAGGACCATGTACGAGGTCTTCAGGAGGGGATTCAGCATCTCCGGTGAGAGCGCGGCAATGGGGACACCTGCGAGCAGGGATGGGGACAGGTGGAGGACCAGACAATGTGGAGGCTCAGCGGCTGGGGAAGCTCAGAGCGTAGAGGCTGGAAGAGTGCGGGAGCCCATGGAAGTGTGGGAGGCCCAAATGGTGTCGAGGTCTGTTTGGAAACAAAGTCTGAAGAAGCGCGGGAGGTCCAAAAAGGAGTGGGAGGCCACCGGAAGGTGGGAAGCCACAAAACTGCAGAAGTGAAGAGAGTGAGAGGCTGAAAGCATGGGGGGAGGCACAAACAGTGGTGAGGCAGAAAAAATGCAGGAGGCACAAAGAGCGTAGAAGCGTGAAGAGTCTGGGAAGCAGAAGGAGATAAAATTGCTGAAGGGAGGCTGAAACAGTACAGGAGGCCAAAAAAGTGCGGAGGCTCAGGAAGTGTAGAGAATGACATGGGGCCCCAAAACTACAGGCAACTGCTACGTGTGGGAGGCCCAAAGAGTTTGGAGGTCAAAAATCACTGGGCAGACCCACGAGTGTTTAGGTGAAAGACTGAAACACCTGAGGATTGAGGTCCAAAGGTGTGGGAAGCCCATAAGTGTACAGAGTGCCAACGTGTGCGAGGCCATCAAGGTGTAGAGGCAGAGAAATGTGTGGAAGGCTGATGAGGTGTGGGAGGCCAGCGATGTGGGGAGGCTCAAAAAGGTGTGGGAGGATGAAAGGGCATGGAAGGCCAAGGAGGTATAGGGTGGAAAAGGGGTGTGGGGAGGCGGAAAGAGGTGGGAGGTTCCAACGGTGTTTGAGGATGAAATGAGGTGTAGAGGCCGAAAGGGTAGGGGAGGCTCAAATGAGGTATGGGAGACTCAAAAGGTATTTGAGGCTCAAATGAGATGCAGAGGCTTGAAAAGGTGGGAGGCTGACAGGGTGTGGGAGGCTCAAATGATGTGTAGGGGCAAAAAAAGATGTAGGAGGCCAAGAACTTGAGGCTGAAATCAGTTTTAGAGGCTCAAATGAGGTGTGCGAGGCTCAAGTGAGTTTTAGAGGCTGAAAGAGGTGTGGGAGGCTCAAATGAGGAATAGAGGCCAAAAAATGTGTGGGAGGCCAAGAAGGTGTGTGAGGCCGAAGTAAGTTTTACAGGACGAGAAAGGTGTGGAGGCTGAAGTGAGTTGTGGGAGGCCGAGAACCTGCAGAGGCTGAATGGAGATTTGGAGGCCGAAGAAGGTGTGGGAGGCTGAAAGGGTGTGGGAGGCCGGGAAGGTGTAGAGGCTGAAGTGAATATTGGAGGCCGAAAAAGGTGTGGGAGGCCGAAAGGGTGTGGGAGGCCGGGAAGGTGTAGAGGCTGAAGTGAATATTGGAGGCCGAAAAAGGTGTGGGAGGCCGAAAGGGTGTGGGAGGCCGGGAAGGTGTAGAGGCTGAAGTGAATATTGGAGGCCGAAAAAGGTGTGGGAGGCCGAAAGGGTGTGGGAGGCCGGGAAGGTGTAGAGGCTGAAGTGAATATTGGAGGCCGAAAAAGGTGTGGGAGGCCGAAAGGGTGTGGGAGGCCGGGAAGGTGTAGAGGCTGAAGTGAATATTGGAGGCCGAAAAA